TTGAATTAAAATGAAACAAGTAATCAAATAGAAAACAAAAAAAAATGAAATTAAAAATGGAAAATACAAGGGTGCATGAAGTAACTATCCAAAGTGTTATTTGCTAATGGGCTGCGAAACGGGGGTGTGAATAGAGAATGAACTTAAGCCCAGCTGAGTTAAATGAAACTCAACATTTCATACCAAAGGGGAGAGTCAATTCGCGAAAGTGAATCCTGGCCACGCAAATGAAATACAAAGTCAAGCTTCAGCGCGATTGTGTGGTCATGATGTGAATTGGAAATTTTAATAGCAAAACGGAGGGAGTACTGTGCGCGGTGGGGGGCGGTGGCCGAAGAAGATTCCGATCATCTTCTCCGGTGGTACGCTACAGTGTCGGTTTTGAAAACTTCACAAAACTCCAAATTTTTTATACCAATCTCTTCCTCGCACTTCCTAGATTAAAAATATCAAATTCTTTTCCATTTTTATCCAATAAATAAGGAGAAATACAAGCTACAACCTAAGGTGTTATGTCAAGAATTATCACGAAATTTAACCATTCTAATCCTAAAACGTTCTACGCACTCTAAGGATCACAATCATGTGAAAATAGCATAGCAATTCATCAAGAACAGAGCGTATGGATGAAAGATAGGAACCTGTTAATAAGCTTCGACAGAGGCTTGAATTGTGGATGAAGCTTCAAGCAAATCGTCCAGAATCCGTCAATGAACCTCACTGAAGCTTTTGGCAATGGTAATTTGGACTGAAAGAGACTCTATCTTCAAAATTGATTTTCCAAGTTTCTCCACTTTTTCTTAACTCAATTTCTATGATTTTTCACCAAAAGTTAGTTATGGCAGTTGGAAATCATCCCAGAGGTTATATGCAATGGATATTGAGTGATTAGAAGCCCAATTGGAGTCCATGGCAGCCCAATTCAAAATCCATTTTTCCAAGTTTGAAGCTTTGTGAAACTCATCCAAACAGAGATGTCAAGCTTGCTCATGGATCCATTATGGTTACTTATGATGTAAGGAAGATGTGTGGATAGGATTGAGGCCTTGAAATTGAATGGATGGTTGATTTGCATTGTGTTGCTTTTTGGTGAAGAAATCTTGGATTTGGCATAGCAAATAAATTCAATCTTGACTTCTGATTTTTCCAATATTCTTAAAACATCACCTGGACTCAAAACAAGCACAAATATGACATGAGTTGGTTCCAAAATGAATTGATTTGAATTAGCCCTTTTCAAGCTTCCTTTCATGATTCATTCATGAATTTTTCTTCACACATTTCTCATTCTAATCCATATCAATGGATTCTTGGTGCATGGTTAGACAAATAACATCATTTTGAACAACTTTTAAGTTGGACAAAATTCCATTTGAGGTGTTTAAGTTGGTGAAATTGACCCATAATAAAAAATGGCCTATAATTTAAACTTCCCAAAATACCCTTGTCTTGCAAAGCTTATATCTTTAGTTCTACAAATCCAATCATGGACTTCTAGTACTTTTTGAAAAGCTAAGAAGATAAGGAACAACATTCATGTTGGCCAAAAGTTCATGTGAAACTTTCTTCTAGGGCAAACGTGTCATGCAAGTTGGTTGACTTTCAAGCTCCAAATTCACATTCATCTGATGACCTGTAACTTGTCTGATTCATAACTTGAGTTCTATAAACCCTATCAAGGACTTCTAGTACTAAAATTAAAGTTATGATCATGCTCTACAACAATCATGTCAGGGCCAAGGTGAGATGAAAATCACATCTTAAGTTATGTGGTCTTGAAGTTAAGCACTAAACTAGGGGATTTTACACTATCAAGCTTAGAAACCCTAGCCTAGGAACTCCTCACACTCTTGATTCATGATGAGTTGACCTTGGAATCATCCCTTGGACATCTTAATACATCAATCCATGATCACATGGCCTTTAACTTAGGTCTCAACCTTCTTCAAATCATCAGTTGACCTAGGGTTGACCAGATGAAACCCTAATTGCACCAATCTTGGTTGTAGCTTCTTACACTTGGCATAATGACATGTCTAGGCTTCAAAATGACTTTCAAGACATTTCATGAGCTATCTCAAGGCTTCAAGTCCAACTTCATGGATTTAGAATCATCTGAATAGCTTCCCATAACCTTCAAGTTAGGAGATGTACACACTTGGCTTCAACCCCTCTCTCTGAGAATCTTTGACTCCTTTGGTGAGGATATCAACCCTTGGATACTTGCATAAAGACTCATGGATTAGCTTCATAACCTTGTGTATCCTTTTGTTGGTAGTTATACCTCTTGATCTCCTGCACACATGTCAATGCAATGCAGATGATAATGCTAAAATGAATGCAATGAAACACAAGCCAGGTAAAGCAAAAGGTTAGGAAAATTTTGGGGTGCAACATCTGGTATCCGCGCAGTTAAGAAACCTCTAACATCGCCGCCAGGCCTTCACTAAATAAAAGCGAGCATCAGGATCCACACGAAGTTAAGATCACCCACTGATAATAATCACAGAGAAATTCCGCTGGGGAAATAACATAGACGGGGGTCTAGATGCCACGCGAGTAAAGATACCAACCATCTGCGAGATACACCTGAAACAAAGGGATAACAACCTGGCTTATGTTTCACATGCATATGTTTGAAAATGGCATAATGCTCCATGCGAAATGGAAATGCTACGCGTTTGGCTGGATGTTATGCACGACGCAAAGTGTAAGGGAATCACTCCAGCAAAATAAATGCTGGAGAGAAGAAAGCCGACTCCACCGGGGATCCAATCAAAACCCTGCTGGGGAAAACGCCCTGGATGGCACACCAGAATACAGCTCTTCTGGGAAACAAACATCTCAGCTGGAGGAAACATGCCCACTCTACTGGGGAACTAACAACTCTGCAAAAGAAACATAATCAACCACTAAAATTGAATCTCGATTCACCGAGGAAAACAACCATGAACGGACTCCTGGGACACCAAAGTCCTTCTAGGGTACAAAATACTTATCTGAAAGTGGCAATTCGCTGGGGACAATGTCAAAATCCAACCTGCCGGGGATACTCAGCTGAGGAAATAACCTGCCTCCTCTATAGATTACTCAGTGAGGGAATCAGCATTGACCTCTGCTTGGGGAAAATGAGAAATAAACTCATCAATATCGACCTCTGATTAGGGAATGAGTCAATGACCTAGACTCAGAGGAGAAAGGAGCCAAACACTTGGACTCTGCGGGGTAACAACAATGCATTCGTCCCACCGCTGGGGAAATAAACCCAAATCTGCTTTGTCAAGGAAAACTTCAATCTCGACCCACTGGGAATACACAACCAATTTGCCGGGGATGGCTACACTCTGCCAGGGATATCAATCTCGACCTGCTAAGGATAATCTTGATCCTGCTCTGATAAAGAAAAAGTGCCATCTCAACTTGCTGCAATCTCAAACTGCTGAGGAGAACCAATCTTAACTGCACATCTCTGCTGAAGAAATCTTACTGATTTAACAACATCACCCCCTAAGGGAATACAAAACACCAATCATGGAGAACTGAGATCATTCGGGCCTCGTGTCGGGGAACATGATAGCACATGTGAACCATTGGGAATTGTCGTGCCAGATACAATTAGGCTTTTTCTGATTTAGGAATGGAGTTTATGGTGATAGGGATTTATTTCTAGTTACCAACAAAAGTGGATTTTAGGAGGAAATACTAGACGATAACTAGCATTCGAGGGCGGACCACCAGACGAGAACTGGTGGTACAAGGTTAAGTTATTAGACGAGAACTGATTTCTGGTTTGGGTATCAGACGAGAACTGATTTCTGGTTTGCCATACGAAAACTGGACTTTGGAACTGTGTTAGCCAGACGAGAACTGGTTAAACAGTAGGTTAAAGAACGGGTGACCAGACGGGAACTGGTTTAAAAGTTGACATGCACTAGACGAGAACGTGTGTGTACTGACGGGTTGACCAGACGAGAACTGGTTTGAAGGTTTGCCAGACGAGAATTGGGCTTTGGAGGTTTGCCAGACGAGAACTGGGCTTTGGAAATGGTTTCATGTTACAAGGTTTTGACAGGTAACAGGTTTAGGCTGTAGGATAACGATCCGATGACAACAAAACTTTCTCGGAAAGTTAAGGTTATTTGATGAGGGTTATGACAATAAACATGATTATCTTATATTGATGCGCAAAAGCATTATTTTGAAGACGAGGACCCAATGAGCTTGATTCCATATTAAAAATAATTACACGCTCAGTGTATGGGGAACGAATATGATATTCTTGTTTATAGCCCGGTTCCATCATGTACTCTGTCTCGTCCAGTAATTCGTAGTTCCATCGAGGAACTTCTTTACTTATTTCCTTGATTTCACTACATAGTTTTCTATTAAAAATTGTTTTATGATTGAAAGGATTAGTCCGAATTGCATCAAATAAGAAGTTTCTTTTTTTTTTCTTTGGAATAGATTTTTACTTGTTCATGTTTTGGAACTGAAGAAAGTCCGTCAAAATGAAAATTGGATACTGATTTTTCCGAAAATTTACTCATTATTTTAAAATAAAAACCCATTTTAGTGAATACTAATTTTCTATCCAATTTATCTATTTTCTGTTCCAATTCTGGAGAATTGGTATTCATACAAAGAAGGAGACCATGAATCCTATTTATCAATATGGAGTTTGATTCAAAAGTTTTCTTTTTAGAAACGCTTTTTTGGATTTCTCCACGAGCGGGTCCATTCAAGAAAGGATCATATATTTTAGGTAAGTATTTTTTTCGACTCCTATCATCTGATAATCGAACTCGATTTTCTAATACATCCACAAGATTAAATTTCTTACCTTTCTTAACTTTCTTATCTAGAATTTTGGCCCTTTGAAATAATTCCTTGCTTAGTTGATTTTATTTTTCTTTATTACGGGAGATCCAAGAATTATACAATTCATTCTCATGATTGGAGGTTTTCTCTGTTCTGAAGAGATCCATTTTTTTCCATGATGTTCAGAAAAGTAGATAAATGAGGTGGATACGTGAAAGATATTCGTTTTTTTCCATCACTTTGACATGTTTGAAAAAAAATTGTGAATTTTCATCTCTTACAATCCGCTCGAAGTGATCATTTTTTATATATCGCACAGGCCTAGTCCATCTTTGAAAATCGAAAAGAATATTTACAAGACCTCTTTCCGCCACCGGGGGGAGAATTTTTGTCTTTTTCTGAATATTCGTGTTGTTGGAAGTCTTCTCATTCTCGGAAACATAAACCATCAGATCTTCTTCGTTATTTTCTTCCCTTTCCGCATCTATTGCAGCTTGGATTTCCTCCGAGTACCTCTCGTCGTAGCCTTCCATTTCCTCACCATAAAAATAAGGGATCATTGCTCTTCCTGAATAGTGCTCAAAAATTGCAAAGGCGAAAACGGCAAATATTTGCCCCGCATAATTTCGTAATTGTAGGAGAATGTATTTATCAAATCTCATCGTTATCTTAGATTTGATCGAATTTTTTTCTTGAACCAGACTAATATCAATCCAACACATTGCATTAAAAAGATGTGACCAATTACCCACCCAACAAAACTACTTGTTAAGAATAACAATTTATTGTTGGATCGAAACAGATAAATGTTCATTAATCTTATTAAGATTGAACTTGGGAAAAGAAAGGGGTTTAATAATTGAAAAAAAAAGATTGTTAAAGAATACTTTGTAAGTCCTAAAATTACGTATTGAATTTGGATTGTTGTCTCCAGAATCCTCCCGGTAGTATGCCCAACCCCAATCGTTCGAATAGTAATGTTTGTTATTTTGATAGACATGATTACAGAAAAGATACGGCAGAGTTAAGAATGTTAGTGTATGAGGTCGATTCAATGCCAAATGCAAAGGCGCATAATATATCGATATGAACATCATGACGCGTCCCGTAAGAAACCCGCTTGTTGCTGCTATTTCCGTCTCGGAACCTTTTTCCATAACCCGGGCTTGAATAAGGAAGAGATAAGACGGTCCTATGTAGGCTGTAGTAAGAAATCCATAATAGAGTCCGATGACAACGGTTGAATTCAGTATCCTAAGGCAGAAACCCACTAAGGAATTTCGTATAAAAAAGTTAAAATTCATAGTTATCCCCCTTTTAAGTTTGTTTTTATTTACAATTGTTATTTCGATGTTTATTTTATATTTTTTTTTATTATTTTATATGTTACTATTATATGTTACTATTAAAAATGTCTTCTATTTATCCATTTACTTTGAAGTTTCCTTTTTTATTATTTTATATGTTACTATTAAAAATGTCTTATATTTATCCATTTACTTTGAAGTTTCCTTTTTTATTATTTTATATGCTACTATTAAAAATGTCTTCCATTTATCCATTTACTTTGAAGTTTCTTTAATCTAGAATTATGATTTCGATGTTTCATATATTACTATTATGAACAACTTGCTGGGGAGAGCAAAGTAGCTTGAACAACTTGTCCAGTGCAGTTCAACTTGCCCCAGTGCGACTCTTTGGGAAAGTTCAAAAAGTAGCTTGCCATGAGACAACCTTGAGATGGCTTGCCCCAGAGTCCGTACAACGAAAGGATTCATCCTCGGTTGACCAACTCTCAGCACGGTTGGTTTCAATATACTCTTGAAATGGCTTGCCCCTGAATGAGCGTTGAAGCGACTTAACCTGATCTGATTGGATACCGGAGGGATATGTCCTTAAATCAAAGAAACTCTGGGTGGCCTGCCCCTGATTGGTGGAGTCTCAAGATTATTCACCTCTAGTCAACTGCCTCTTGAACATTCTGCCCCATAATCAACCGATGCTTCGGGACCTGTCCTTCGACTGACTGATTTCAAACTCTCTGGATGTCAATGCCCCATATTCAGGGTTCAAAGTATACACCATTCTGATCCGGACTGCTGAACGATCTAGTCCTGTTTGATTATTCCCTGTTGGAATTTCGTCCATGTTAACTACAGACCTGCAATTAAAATTGTTTGTTCACGAATGGTAATTTTAATGCGGTGTTCATGCAGATTTTGAAAAAATGTTGTCACTCATCAAGTGTCGTGATAGTGAGTGACGAATGAACCAAAAGTTCAAACGTAGTGCTGATTTGATTAGTGCAAGATACAACAAGGATATGATTAGCAAATCATGTAGGAGTCAGGTTACTCAACCTCGTTGTAGTATGCTTTCAGAATAAACCCTGCCTCAATTAGGTCTTTTAAGGGTTGTATCGTGGTCGGGTTCACGGTTCGTGAAACAAAGGATATTTGGCTCAAAGTATGATTTGTACCCACCCCTTCTACGTGATGATCTCCAATTCTAAGTTCAGTTAACTTGGCTCAAGCGCTCACCTCTACACAAGTTTTATTGAATGGTAGGAGTGATGGTTAAATAACTCACAAGGTTTTCGGAGTGACAGTTACTCCTTTTTGTCTTCTGTGTCTGTATCCACATGACTTTGCCCTTGTTTGAGGATTTTTCTTTTGAGATCCTTTCATTTTCATTCTTTTGATTCCCTAATTTTTTCCTGGACTGACTCTTTTGAGTTCTCGTTGATTTTTAAGTCCAGCGGGATGCCCTGATTTTTGCCTAAGTATTTGCTTTCCAGCTTTTCTTTTCTTTTTACTTAGCCGGCTTTCTTTTTTCTTTTTTTTTGAAACAAGTCGTGTGTCACTGGCTGTCTTGATTTATCCGAAGGGATTATAACTGTCTCACTCCTGACTAATGAGGTTTAACCATTGCGGCTGATGAGGTATGACCTTTTGAGAGGGATAAGATGTGATTGATCCTTGAAAGGAAACACTCCTCTATAAGATTTGAATGCTCGGTCAAGCTAACTGACGACTACCCTGCCCCAGGTTAAGATGTGAGGGTTTGAAAGTCCGAAAGAAACTCCTACTTCTAGGCTCGAAGTGGTTAACTAGGGACTAACTCCTTATCTCTTTGGTGTTTAGGGGATTTGAAACAATGCATTTACGTCATTAACATGGTTTTATCCGAAAGCATACGATCATCAGTTATGGGTATTCAGTTTTCGTCATCCTCCCTCCAATCTTTACTAATCACAGTGATAAAGTGGAGCGCATGTGTCTGTGTTGTGCAATAATTGAGCGAAAGCGACATGATTAGTTCATAAAAATGCATAACCACTTCATTAATATTACCATTCAAAACAACAATGTTTAACAGCAAGTAGCAACTAACATAAAAGAAACTACAAATGCAAATGATAAAAAGTCTGAGGACTGCCAATGCTAAAGATGTCTGTCTGTCTGGACCACTGGCTTCTAGAAATAAAACTCTGAATCTGCGAGCTCAGATAGCTGAGAGGTTGAAATGAACAACCAAAACTCCTTCTGGAAAGGAAATGCACCCTTCGCCGATCAACTGCTGCACTTTTGCCTGAAAAGCTTTGCAATCTTCGGTTGAATGCCCCATGGATCCACCATGATATCCATACTGAGCATGGGGATCGTACCCTGGAGGGTAAGGTTCTGGCACTGGCTTAAGAGATTTAGGTTCCACCAAAGAGTTCTGGATCAAATGTGGCAGAAGCTGGCTGTACGACACAAGAACTGGATGAGAAGGAGCATTCCTTCATTCCAAATTGTTACGAGGCCTGTTCTGATTCTGACGCTGATTCTGATAACCTCGGCCACGGGCTTGGTGATTTGCATGAGGAGCGACCCGAAGTTTCTGATGTGGTGCTCTAGGCACAGTTGTCTGTCCAGAATAACGAGACACAGAAGATACTGACCGTTGAGAAGATGAAGAACCAAAATATTTCACTGATTCATCTTGAGAATACCCAACATCTGTCATGACTGCATTGACCACAGTTTTGCCTTTAGCTTGAAAGCTGCAGAGAGATTCAGTTTCACCAGCCTGGCCGCTTGAAACATTCTGAATTCTTCCAGTTTTTACGCCATACTCAATACGTTCTCCTACTCTTACCAATTTAGAGAAATTTGGTGCAAGCCCAAGCATTCTTTCGAAGTACGGGCTCTGCAAGGAGTTTACGAACATGCCTGCTAACTCTTGATCTAGGAGTGATGGTTGCACTCTGGAAGCAAATTCTCTCCACCTCTGAACATACTTCCTGAAAGGTTCATTGTTCTCTTGAGACAATTCTTGCAACTTCATGCGACTGGGAGCCATGTCTAGATTATAGTCATACTGTTTCAGAAAATCTTTGGCTAAATTCACCCATGATTGGATCTGATTACTCTCCAACTGCATATACCAACTCAGAGATGCCCCAATCAGACTGTCCTGAAAACAGTGAATCATCAACTTGTCGTCGTGCACAAACGATGTCATTCTTCTACAGAACATCAACAAATGTTGCCTCGGGCAGCTATCCCCTTTGTGCTTTTTAAACCTTGGTGCTTTGAAATTTGGAGGTAACACTAGGCCAGAAACCAGACACATGTGTGAAGCATTGAGACCAACATCATCTTTAACTTCTAAGGCTTTGAGTTTTTCCTCCAATGCATGAAACCTTTCGGCATACACGAGAGCTCTCGGGTCTTCAGTCTTCACTACCAGAACTTCTCTTCTGGCAATCAACATAGAGGAAACAGCATGGTGATAATTTGAGGTATCAAGAGAAGAAGAACGTTCACTTCGGGCAACAGACTGTTCATGTAGATCCTCGTCTTCAACAGAAGGATGCATAGACTGAGCTTCAGTTATGTTGTTCACTTGTGGAAGGTGTTCATCGGGCAGAGAACCATACAGAGGATTGGTCGTCAAAGTAAAACCTGACAAGGTATCAACAATCTAGAAGTCGTTCCCTGACATATCTACCGACAACTTTCAACTGACTACACTGCTTGACACTGCTTGATTCTGCTTGATTCTACTTCAAACCTTTGGTCGTCTTCTAACAATCAACACTTGCTCAGAACGGTCACCAGAGAATCACCTTCTGAAGTAAAACAAAGGCTGGATAAGAGCTCTGGCCAACTGAAGAATGCTATGCAAAAATGATGCAAAGATGCTTATGTAAATGCAATGCAAGATGCAACAAACACGAGATCACAACCCCCACAAAGCTCTGAATACTACTGCGCTGCTGACTGAGTAAATTCGCTCTCAAGAGAAAACCAAAATACTGGGTTGGATGGAAGTCAAGTTTCATGCAAAAACCCTCCCACTCACGGGTATGGACCTAAACTGACAAGGTACGGCATCTTATGCGTTCGTCAGCGTCACAGACTTTCAAGAAACGATGATACGTTCACCATTTCTGGTTTAGCATCATAATCTCCTAAAGAGGCCTCACTTAGCTGACTCACAAATGATCGGTCCCTAGAGTCGAAAACCCTCAGATCCAAAATCCCTTCGAGCCCAAAGGGCCAGAAAAGAAATCATCAAAGAGAATCTCGTCCGAGCGCGAATTTCATGGTGAACTAGTATGAGCAAAGCTAGCACATCCACCACTACTCTCCACTACTAATGTTAGGTGTGTACTCAAGCCTGGGTTTTGGCTTATCTCTCAGAGGAACAGCCACCCAACAGCACAACAACAACAGATAACAATATAGTGCGGAAAATGTAAATACATCAATATACAAAATAAAACACAAATATACACACCCACAAACCAAAACAGACAAGCGCTAGGATTGACTCGCAAAGGGGATGTTCCTGTCCCTAGCAGAGTCGCCAGCTGTCGCAACTGCGAAAAAAATCGGCAGAAAAACGGAAGAGTCGCCACCTTTCTTTATTTATCCCATAGAGAGGGAAAGGAAACGATAGGAAAAAACTGATGGAAAAGGGAAAGACAAGGTCATCGTAACCGTGTTTGGATTCGGGAGTCGATTACGCAAGAGGAAGGTATGAGCACCCCTCACGTCCGTCGTACTCGACGGGATCCACGCTTGGGTTGTCTAGTCTATGGGTGAAAAACAATCTATCTACGGCTGCTAAAGCTAAATGGAAAGAACTGACTCGATAGAGCATCGCCGCTCTATGCCTACATATTCCCTCGTGCAATAGGAAAGTTAGAGTCAACGTAGTTCAGGAAACTACGGGGGGAGTTTCCCCGCCAAGACGTCACATCTCGTGCCTACGTATTCTCATCTGGCATGAGAAATCAGAGCAAAACATA